GCGGCCATTTTGAGGAGGCCGCCCACCCTTGAGGTGCCATTTTGGGGAGACTGACAGCCCTTGGGGTGCCATTTTGGGGAGGCTCTTGGCCCCCATGAGTGCCATTTTGGGGAGGCTGACCCCACCAGACAGCCATTTTGGGGAGGCCAGTGGCCGCCAGCCCTTGAGGTGCCATTTTGGGGAGGCTGCCGACTCCCGTTGGTGCCATTTTGGGGAGGCTGATACCACCAGGTGGCCATTTTCAGCAGGGCGCCATTTTGGGGAGGCTGATGAGCCCATCGATGCCATTTTGGGGAGGCTGACTCCACTTGGCGGCCATTTTGAGGAGGCCGCCCACCCTTGAGGTGCCATTTTGGGGAGGCCCACCCCACCAGGTGGCCATTTTGGGCAGGGCGCCATTTTGGGGAGACCATCACCACCATGGAGCCTTTCGGCGGGGGGCCACTGGTCCCTGGGACGCCGTTTTGGGGCCGCCACCAGCCTTGGCGCCATTTCTGGAGGCCATTTTGGGCAGGCCGCCTCAGAGCCCGGATGCCTGGGCTCCTTTCCCAGCCCCGATTCCGCCTCCCCCTCCTTTTTTATTATATTTTATGTATTTTAAAGGCATGTCTCGAGCTGTTTTTAGCATCTGTGTTGTCACGGCAACACCGGCTTTACTCTTTTCCCCGATTTTTCCCCCCAGAACCCAAAGCCAAAATGGAAATCGAGGAAAATGGCACCAGCGACTCGCTGGGCTCAGGCTGAGCCTGTTCAGCTCGGCCTCTCGCTCCTCTTTGACCCCAATAAATGCTGATTTTGGTACATTCTGGGTGACCGCAACGTTTTCTGATGAGCTCTGCTCTTTYGTATAGCATTAAGTTGTTTGGACCCTTCTGGTGTGGGGAAATGGGGTTGAAAATGACCTTTTTGGGCAAAAACAAGGTTAATTTGGTGGGGGCAGAAACTAGGTCAAAAAGAATTATAATGTGGGGCAGAAACGGGATCCAAAAATGACCTTTTGGGGCAGAAACACGGTCAAAATAATCACCTTTTTGGGAGGAAATTGGATCAAAGAAATCACCTTTTAGCCCAGAAACTCGTTTTAAAAGTCATGCTTTGGGGCAGAAACTAGGTCAAAAAGAATCACCTTTTGGGGCAGAAAGTGGGTCTGAAAAATCACATTTTGGGGGAGAAACTGGGTCTGAAAAATCACCTTTCGGCACAGAAAGTGGGTCTGAAAAATCACCTTTCGGCGCAGAAAGTGGGTTGAAAAAAATCACCATTCAGGTCAGAAACTGGGTCAAAAAAAAGACTTTTTGTGCAGAAACTGGGTCAAAAATGGCATTTGGGGGCAAAAAGGGGCCTTGGGAGCATCTCCCCCCGGCGCAGCAGAGCCGGGAAGCGCGAGGGGCCGCGGGAATCGGAGCGGATGGGAGCAGCTTGGCGCGGGCGCCGCTAATTTTAGAGGTGCCGCTCGGAGGCGCCGGGCCCGACACCCGCTTTCCCGGCGCAGCTGCCGCCGATTTCGCGGCTCCGYTCCCGGGAGCGCCGCTCCGGGACCCGCTGCCAGCCCGGTTTCTTTTATTATATCTGTGTATAACATGCATTTTATTTCACATTTTGTATCTATTATAAATATATTTTTTATATATATACACAAAATGCATATTTTTAGCTGCATATATATATTTAATTTTACATTTTAATTATATATATATAATGTATTTTTCAATTTTTATATATATATATACATTTATGAGTTATATATGTGTATATACTTATATATACACTTATATATACTTATATTCTGAAATATTCTGAAATATATATGTTTTTAAAGCCCAGCTCGCAATGGACAAATGGCCCTGGCTCATGCAAGGGTCAGGGACACCTTGGGCTACAAAATGGAAAAAAAAAAAGTTAGAAAAGTACTTTTTTAAGGTTAAAAAAGTAGAAAAAATAGAGTGTGTGTGGGGGGGAGCTCGGGGTCCTGCCCCCGCCCTTCCCGGGGCCGCAGCAAGCGGGTGCCACGTGGAGGGGGCGTGGCCTGACCTGGGGGCGTGGCCTGCCGATTGGGGGTGTGGTCACAGACGGGGGCAACCGCATGGGGGCGTGGCTGGGTCAAGGGGGTGTGGTCTGGCGCGTTGGGGGCGTGGCCTACGCTGAGAGGAGGCGTGGCCAGGGCTTGGCGCTC